CACCGCCACCACTTTGGCCACCAGGTAGCCCGAGGGTGCCCAGCGCGGCACCAGCTCTCCCGCCGCGCTGCTGTCGGGGGCCGGGTGCAGCACCACGGGCGCGTTATCGTTCTCGTCCCGCACCATGACGCGGAGCAGCGCCTGGGCGCTGAGCGGCGGCGAACCGCTGTCAGTGGCGAGCACTGACACCTCAAAGGCACGCACCTTCTCGTAGTCCAGCGGGCGGAGGATATAAACATCCCCGTTTTCAGCGTTGACTGACACCTCGGGCTGCTCCTTGCCCTCCTGCCGCACCAGCGCGTAGTTTACGCGGGCGTTTTTTCCTGCGTCGGCGTCCGTGGCGTTCATGCTGCCGATCCGGAGCATGGGGCTGTTGTTCTCCGTGACCGACATGGTGTAAATCTCCTGCGTGAACTCTGGGGGATTGTCGTTCACATCCGATATCTGCACGAAGATGTTTTCCCGAGAGCTCAGCCGCGCCCTGCCCCAGTCCGTGGCTGTGATGGTGATGTTATACTGTGCCGTGCTCTCCCTGTCCAGGGCCGCGTTTGTTCTCAGTTCGTAATAATTATCAAAAGTGGGGGTGAGGCTGAATGGCAAGTCCCCTTCGATCGAACACTCTGTCCTGCCGTTGTCCCCGGAGTCCCGGTCCCGCACACTGAACAGAGCCACCACGGTGCGTGGCGGGGCGTCCTCGGGAATGGAGGCGGTGAGAGAGGTCAGCGCTATCTCCGGGGCATTGTCATTCACGTCCAGGACTTCTACGTGCACTTTGCAGTACGCAGAAAGCCCCCCGCCGTCAGTGGCTTTTACCACCATCTTGTGGGTTTTCGCTTCCTCGAAATCCAGGTTGCCCGCGACTCGTATCTCCCCGGTGGCCGGGTTCAGATGGAAGAGTTCCCGGGATCGCTCCGGTGTCTGGGTGAAGGAGTACCGCACTTTTCCATAGGATCCTTCGTCGGGATCTGCGGCCGCGACTCTGACCACCAGCTGCTCCAAGGGGCTGTTCTCAGCCAGGCGCACCTCATAGACCTCTCGATCGAAGGCAGGGATGTTGTCATTGGCATCCAGCACCACGATCCGGACCAGAGCCGTGCCCGACCGGGGTGGCGAGCCCCCGTCGATAGCGGTGAGAAGTAAATTCAGCTCCCCCTGCTCTTCACGATCGAGCTGGCGCTGTAGGACGAGCTCCACATATTTTACTCCGTCTTTCCCTGTTCCAATAGCGAGGGAGAAATGAGGATTGGACCCGAGGCTGTAGTTCTGCAAGCCGTTACTGCCCACGTCCTTATCCTGGGCACTTTCCAGGGGGAAACGGGACCCGGGAGATGCTGTTTCTAGAATCTTTAAAACCATCTCCTTCTCCGGGAACACGGGGGAGTTGTCGTTTACGTCACGAATCTCCACCTCCCCTCGGATCAGCTGCAGCGGATTTTCAAAGAATATCTTAAAGACGAGCGTGCAGGTCTCTCTCTGCGGACAGATCTCCTCTCGGTCCAGCGACTCCTTTGCCGTCAGGACTCCGGTATTTTGATCGAGACGGAAAAGCTGCTCGCTCCCCTCAGACACAACGCGGGCCTTGCGAGCCGCGAGCTGGCTCACAGGAACCCCCAGGTCCTTTGCAATATTGGCGACAAAGGAGTCTCTCTCCATTTCCTCCGGCAGAGAGTAGCGGAGGGTCTCAGCCCCGCTCTGACACACGCAAAAGCACAGAATAAACAAGATCACTTGCCTCTTGCTGTCTCTGCTCCGTCTCCCACACTCCATCACTCTCCCAAAAAGCCATCCGCCGTCCTCCGCGGCTCCCAGCATTTTTAAATAGCGTCCGGAGCGGAGCGGTGTTTGCCAGCAATCCTGGGGTGAGGGAATCTGGAAGCTCCCGAGTACTCCGACTCCTTCCCGAGCAGCTCCCACGGTTTTTTTGTCTCCCTGTGCCTGCAAAGCCGGGGCGGACCGAGGGACGCGCCGGTCCGCGGCCAACACCCCCACCCAGCGTCGGAAGGGGGAATATTTCCTCTCATTCGGGGCAGAGCCGCTGATTCGGGGTTTGCTGCTTGAATGTGTGCCCTGTGTGCCAAAGTGAAGCCAAGAGGTGCGGTGGAAATATTCTCCTCGCTTGGAAGCGGGGTCGCTGTCGCTGCTCTGGGTATCAACTCCCAGCTCGCCAACCGCGAACTCTTCAGACACAGCTTTTGGGTTGGCTCTACGTTTTGTAGGCACTGCAAGATTCACTTCCTCGGCAATCATTGCGAGGTTTTCATTCTCCATTTGTTAACCAGCACAGGACAATTAGCAACTGGGGCGGGTCAGAGAAGCTACTGAAGATGAGAGCTGGTGCCAGAGAGTTGACAGGGAAGTCACACTAGAAGATAATGCTGGTCTAAGGCACATCATCCTAAGGTTGGTTTTTTGCCATTGGGTATCACATCTCGCCCGAAGGACACTTAACACTTTTGTTTTCTGTGTGAAAAGCGCTTTTCTCCTTAGTTGACAAGAGTTTCCTCCCCTGCCGCCTGCTGCTCCTTGCATCCATGATAAGGCGTGTCACTATGTAACGCATTCCTGAAAAATGTCCCCAGGCGTACACAAGCATCGAAATGCTGCAAAATGTTTTCATGTTTTGAAGGTGTAATGTCCTTTCCCCTCTAATATTACCACACAGGGTTAGGAATATTTTAAAGGTCCCACCTTAGAGGTAAAACCTTCACTCTTGTACCTGTCTGAGGCCGACAACTAGTTAATGCAAAAGGCAAGGAAACAAACACAAGAGCTCATAAATTAAGCACCCGGATACACAGAAGCTAATGAGGAGCTAATGGAGACAATAGCAAAGATCAGGGATCTAATTACACTAATTAATGGGCCATTAAAGGATTTATTGAAGTATAAACTCCAGAGGTTCAACAAGAAGCTTTGTACACGACAAAAGGGGAAAAAAGTTCTAAAAATTCTCATATATTATCAGAAAGAGTCTCACAGGAGAGAAGAAAGAGATTACGAGATGTTTTATGGGGGATTTAGGAATATACACAGCTTATTATGAGGTGGTTAGAGGCAGAACCAAACTCGCTAAGAGGGAGAGATCAAGAGCAGACCTGTGAGGAACAACCGTGAGAAGCAGAGGTGGAAGGGGACACCGAGGGGTTCTGAGCACGGCCTGGTAGTTGAGGCAGGATCTGTGCTGGAGGCTGGTTAAAATCATGAGGGTCAGGCACTCGTGGCTGTCCCAGAGGATGGACATCTCAGCTGCTTCTGCGGAGAATGCACACACGGTGTGCTGGGGATGCGTCCAGGTGCCTGCGAGCCCAGCCCAACCCTCCTCTTGGAGAATTAAAAAAATGGAGGAGAAAACAGAATACAGCTTGCACTACTTATTTTTGGTTCGAGCAATTTTTATTCAGGTTTTACTATAAAAGGAACAGCACTTTTTTAGTATTATTATAAAGCATCACAACCTCCTGGGTTTTGGCACCTTTCCTTTAATTTCCTAGATATTTCCCTTTATTTTTGCTTTCTAAAAGGGCTGATGCTGTCAAATAATACTCACGAGGTCCAGTCCTAGGAATTCGTCGACACCTTCATTTGTTTTCAGATAAAACTTCGTGACTGTATGAGTAGGAGAAAGTAACAAGAGTTGACTTAGGATTCCTCAGAAGTTTAGACACTAAAGGACCTTGCACGAATGCGGTCGTTTTTTTGTGATTTCCTGTTACAGCCCCTTGACTTGGAAGCCTCAGAGGCTTTAACTTACATCAAAGGGCAGCTCAGCTGTTTCTTCTCCTCTTCCCTTCCATGTCCACCTCTCGAGTTGCGATTATTATCACCAACACTAAAGTTTGATGTAAAACCAACCACAGCTGGGAAAGTGGTTTCTCTCCTCTTTCGTGCCACGCAAAAATAACTGCGACACCTGGAATCCAGTTGCTTTGTGCCCCTTTGTTTAGCTCTCGGCACCTCCGAGAGAAGAAAGTGTATTTGTTTCTACTTAACCTAATCTTTGGCACCGCGGCACAGCGGGGAACAGGCACAGGCCGAGAGGAGCTTCCACAGACACTTCATACCCTGACTGCAGAAACCCCGTAATTTTTGGTCCTATCATTTCAGAAGGCAAATGTTGTCTTTCAGCTTCAGGTGTAGAAGGGAGTAAGAAGAACAGTGATCCTTAACGGAGCTCGTCTGTGAGAGTGTCTTTCCATATCAGATGATCTGGTCTTCCACTGACCTTTATATTCTTTCAGATTTTAAAGAGATGCGAAATAAAGAGGGCCACTTACCTTGCAGCACTGGAGAGCTAATGCTGGTGTTTTCTGTTTGGTCACAACAATAAAATGAATTTAAAAAAAAAAAAAAAAAAAAGAGAAGAAGTTTGAACGCTGCCAGATGAAGGCACACTGTATTTTAGGACAGACTGAGGAGCTATAACCATAATAAGGATATAATTTGCATAAATGTGTCAGAGAATTCACTTATCTCCTCGAACACGTAGTGATGTTGCAGGCTTCCTCATCTCTGATTAATGATGACGTCTTTATCCTAAGAAGGTAACTTAAAATGACCAAAAACCCCAGTTCTCTCTACTCTGATATTTACAACTGAATACTAGAAAAGTGCTACAGTTCCTGGTATGTCCCCGCTATAACCATAATAAGGATATAATTTGCATAAATGTGTCAGAGAATTCACTTATCTCCTCGAACACGTAGTGATGTTGCAGGCTTCCTCATCTCTGATTAATGATGACGTCTTTATCCTAAGAAGGTAACTTAAAATGACCAAAAACCCCAGTTCTCTCTACTCTGATATTTACAACTGAATACTAGAAAAGTGCTACAGTTCCTGGTATGTCCCCGGATTTCAGAACACAGCATTCCTAAAAGAAAACTCTGCCCTCACTTCTGCAATTTCAGTTTCCAAAATCCCCTTCTTGGTCTTTCAGCTGGGAATTCAGATTTGCCGAATGAAATCTGAGAGGCCCCACGCCTTTAACCCCTGACAAAGGTTTCTCCCCCATCCCTGGAGTCCCTGAGGATAGAATGGCTTGGGAGGAGGCGTTGCCTGGAGATCTAAAGCACAGATGCTTCCCCGAGTCGCTGTGGTTTCCATGCCTGATGCAAAGAGGGACCAACGTTCCTGTCCTCTCGTTCCCAGCCATCTCCCAGGACTTCTTTCGTCTCTATAACAATCAGGCAGCACCCGAATTCCCAGTTCTCCCGCGGAACTGCTGCCTGGAACTCTCAGCAGGACGCAAACGTCAGGAAAACCGCGAGAGTCATTCCCAGACTCGGTCATATTGTAAATACCACTGGTAGCTGTCTTGGTTTTGGTTCATTTTCCGAGAGATAAACCCACCTCCTCTCTCTGCCTGCATTCAGTTCGGTTCAGGCTTTCCCCACCACTCTGTTAAAAGTAAACCTTTATTTCTCCCGGTATTAACTCGGTGCTTACCAACCAACCGGCTCTGCCTGAGTCGCCCCAGAAATCCTCCCAGATCCCTCAGGGCTGGACCTGGGAGACCGCCTCTCTCCTTCCCAATCCCTGCTTTGCCTTGTGCTCGTAGCGTTTCCAGGCGCGGCTCGATGCCACGATTCCCGGCGCATCCTTTGGAAAGGCTTTAACCCGGGGCGTATTCCAGCGCAGCGGGGGCGTTTCGGCTGCGCTCTCAGCAGCGTCTCCCTGGTGCTCCCCGGGCTCCCCCCGGTCCCGCCCAGCAGCAGCAACACCCGCCCAGCGCTGGCCAACATCGCCACTGGGCGAGCAGCGCACGAACTGCAGCGGGGCGTCTGCCCGAGCCTCAGCGCGGAGCTCCCCCCTCGGCCTCTGGCTGCTGCAAGGACAAATTCTGACATACCTCTCCCACCTGAAGTCTTCCTTAGCACTTCTCGAGGCATTTGGTTCGAGATTAATAACCCAGGCAAGCATGAGACGCCTTCCACAAGCCCTCTGTCGAATGTGCTTAACAAGGGCTCGAGCTACAGGCTCACGTGTTGTGCACTGCATTTTCCAGAATTCAGGCAATAAAGGCGTTTTCAAGCACAGGCTGTTTGTGGGAGGCTGAATTTTGAATACTTTCTCCTTCACGAGGAGATCTCCAACTGTTTGATGTCTTCTAAAGTATTCTGCAGTTAAGAACTAATTCAGGATTAATACCAGCACAGACCTCCCCTGAGCCTTGAATCAGCTGTGACAGATTGACAAAGAATATATCAAAGATGAGGGTGGAGGTATCACTGTATGGACAGACTTTCTGTCAGTCCAGTGACTCCTTTACAGTCAGTGACTCCTTTACAGTCAGGACTCGGGTGTTTTGGGTGAGGCAGAAGTGCTGCTTCTCGTCAGACAAAATAGGGAACACATTTCTTCCCAGGCAGCAGTACTTTTTTCTAATAAAATCAGTTCATGAGGCCTTCTGCTCCAGGATCTCCCTGTACCCATTCCAGCTTCGGAGAATAAAGGAAAATTCCCTGTTCAAAAGTCTGAGTTTGTATATCTTCTCGGAGACATTCTGCACTCTCCAGTCTCCAAAGATAGTGCTGGAGAGAAGATACATCCCAGACTGAAAGAGAGCAGGTTTAGATTGAATATCAGGACAAAATTTTCCCTGTGAGGGTAGTGACTCACTGGAAGAGGTTGCTCTGAGAAGCTGTGGCTGCCCCATCCCTGGAAGTGTCCAAAGTCAGGTTGGACAGGGCTTGGAGCAATCTGGGCTAGTGGAAGATGTCCCTGCCCTTGGCAAGGGGTTGGAATGAAATGGGCTTTAAGGTTTTTTCCAACCCAAGGCATTCTCTACCCATATCTTTTTCATCCTGCATCTTTCAATGCAACAAATTCTTTCTCTCTTCTCTCCAGCCATGACAATCACAGTACTTCTTGTTTGGAAATAAATCCTCTCAGTTTCAACACTTTGCTACTACGAATGTCTTTTGAAGCCAAGTAATTATTCTCATCTTCATAAACTTTGTTCTTAGCTGGATCCAATTTTTCCATCCTCAGTCTCACTCTGCATGAATTTTCTTCACAAATCCCTAGAACTGTGTGGGGTTTTATGTATCAAATGGCCCACAAATAATATTTTTATTTCTAGATATCTTATATCTTGGTGTGTTTTGAGGGAGGGAAACGTAATCTGCTGAGATTTTTTTAAAAATTATTTTCTTGTGTCCATTTTCTGTATGACTTTCCACAGTTTCCTGTGGTGGCTGCTTCAGTTGACTCAGAGGAGACTGATCCAAAAGAAAAGTCACATGATG